GTTCACTGAGCATATCTGCAGCTGGAGTTTTACCTTGTGCCTGGCTTATCATTGCTAAATTCACCTATCTTGTTAGCAGGACCAGTAAGAAAAGGAGAAATAAACTAAAATTACAAGGCACAAGAGTTTTCTGTATTGTGTTCAGTTTACATGTTTATTTTGTATTCAGTACCTCAGCATTTCATTCTATAAGCTGATTTTGCAAACTGCAATGATATGTCTAATTATGCTCTGTACTGACTTTTTAAAAAATATTTTAATGGTGGTGCTGCATCTCATACAGGAAAATAATCAGTGCCAATGTTTTGGAGGTGTTCCTACTTCTCAGAGAGGCTTTTCACGTTGCTTTGCTTTTTATGAATCGCCTTGAACACTGAAAACAATCTAAGCTACACAAATACATGGCAATTTCTGTAGTAGATGAAATAACTATATGATCAATGATCTGAAAAACAACTGTGTGATTTATTGATAAATAATTTATGTGAATCTAATACCTTTGATTCATACTACTGTGTCATGGAAGTTCTACTTCTGTTGTCTGCTTGTATGAAATATTGACATTTTAGGTTAAATAATCAAAGCAAGGTGACACTGTTAAAGCCCAATTCAATTTTCACTTAAAGATAGCACGTAATTCTTCATGATTGGTACAGTCCTTACAGTATTATTGATTCTTTTCGTTACTGTAGAGGAGTCATCAAGAAAAATACATGTATGCAATTCTCAAAAGCCACAAATAATAGCACCTGGAACACATGTGTAATTGTATTTTAGGTCAACATTAAAAAAAAAATAAATAAACAAAAGTCCCCAAAATTACTATGTAAAAATGTACAAGGCTCTAGCCAATGCAACACGATCTGATAATACTTTTACTGGGTTCAAAGGCATTTCCAGTTTCTAAGGAGCTAATTGCATCCTCCACCAGCTGGGCAAAAGGCATTTTAAAGCCATTTAAATCTGTGTACATACACAAATAAATAATTAGCATTTTTCTAAAGCCTGCCTGGTAACTCCTTCATACATTTATAACCATATAATGTCCTCTCCAGTAGGAAAATTTCACAGATGTTTGGCTGGTGTTAGAATCTGGTACAATTATCGCTCAGATTTTGCAAATAATGTAGTTCATCCCATGTTATTCCTTGTCACAAACATTTATTGAGCTATATTGATTATCCAAAACAAAAAAGGACCAAAAAAGCTTGGGCAGGCAAATTCCTCTCTGCAGAGTACAGCTCTGTGGGCCATCAAAGGTGCTCTGTTGCTATTTGGTAGTCTGCCCAAGTGGGCTCAAGTACAGGATGAAGGCCATAGAGTCTTCATCAAAAAATGTTCAGGATTGGTTTCGCTAAGCGTCCAAAATAACTGTAACAATGTGAGCATCACTAAGAAACAGAAACCTTTGTTAGAAAATAAAGTTCAAGTCCAAATATTTGAGAACTGGAAGTCTAAATCGAGGAATAATTTAATTTTGGGCAAACCTAGAACAGGTTTGGGCCACTCAATACAAGAAGGACATGGAGGTGCTGGAGCGTGTCCAGAGAAGGGCAACGGAGCTGGGGAAGGGTCTGGAGCACAAGTGTGCTGAGTTCCCTTGTGGCTGAGGGAACTGGGGGTGTTGAGCCTGGAGAAAAGGAGGCTGAGGGGAGACCTTGTGGCTCTGTGCAAGTCCCTTGGAGGAGGGTGGAGAGAGGTGGGGGTGGGTCTGTTCAACCAAGGCCCAAGGGACAGGACAAGAGGAAATGGGCTCCAGTTGTGGCCAGGGCAGTTGAGATGGGATGTGAGGAAGAATTTCTTTGCTGCAAGGGTTCTGAGGCATTGGAAGGGGTTGCCCAGGGCAGTGGTGGAGTCACCATCCCTGGAGGTGTTCAGAAAACATGTAGACATGGCACTTCAGGACATGGTTTAGTTGGGTATGGTGGCATTGGATTGATGGTTGGATTTGATGATCTTAAAGGTCTTTTCCAACCTTAGTGATTTTATAATGCAAAATATCTTTGTGTTGTTGCTCTGCAGATGATTGGCGTTCTCAGCCAGCTGATCATTGACAATATGGAGGTGCAGCGTTGGTTGTTTAAAGTGAATGATGGGTCTGGAGGAAATGGCACTGCCTACTGTGATATTATTGCACATTTGAAATGCTACCACTGGGTTCAAGAGGAACGTCAGAGATATGGCTCTGAGATATGGAGTAAGAAGTGGGCACATGTAAGTAACAAAGAAGCAAGTCCTCTTGTTTGTTGTCGTGGCTTCTTAATAGTCCACTCATCATCTTCCTGACAGTAAATCTTTTCTCTGAGCTTTCATTTTAAGACATTGGTAGCAGTTGATATTACAGACTCCAGACTGGCTTGTACACCGTAACAGGAATTCAAATAAAACAGTTAAATATTCCAAAATTGAAATGAATGCCTGGCATCCAACTGGGGGATAAGTTGGGTGTCAGAACATTTCCTTCATATGCAATAATGGGCAAATTTTACCTCGTTCTTTTTATCCAAAGTGAGGACATGTATAAATGAAAGTATAGAGGTGGCAGAACCTTATATCTACATAGAAACTTGGAATTATTGGAATCAAAGTGTTGACCACTACTATTAATTTGAAACTGCATGCAAACAAATTAGTTTTTAATCTGGTTTTCTAAGGATTATTTTTCCTGTACGTTTTTCCTGACTAATAACTTTTAAACCTTTTAGCTATTTTCAGCTGTAAAAGAACATTTGAGGTCTCAGAGATCATTAGGTTCCCACATGTTCCATTACACAGGGTGTTTAGGTAAGGAGTGAGATCTTATAAATACTTAATGGAGGAAAACACTATGGCATGAACTTGTGCACTAGTAGATTCCAGAGAATCCACATGATTGAGAGAGGTTGTGAGATGATACATTTCAACTGCACAAAAAATCCGTATGAAACTAGACTTCATTAGTTCTGGTACTCGGAGAACTATTTGTAGTTTAAATATTCATTGGTATTTAAATGTGTTAATTTCAATAAGCATTTGATATTTCTGTATATTGTGCCAAATTCATTCCTAATGTAATGGTTTTAAAGCCAGAAGGAATGTATCCAGAAAGAATTGTTTCATTTACATAAACTACTCATTATAGCTCTTTGGATTTTTTTTTTTTAATTCAATCAAAACTGTTTTGAAATTTTTGTTTGATTGAATTATATTGTGTATTAAAATTTCAAATTGTACTGATTACAATTCTTTTGCATTTGACAGCTACAAAATAATTCCACGTTATAAAATAGAGCTTATCATGTAAAGCTGAAAGGCTAATTTCTCTCATCTGCTAGAGATCCCTCACTCTGTGCAAGTCAAGCAGTATAAAGTGGAGCAATATATTGACATCCTGAACCACCATCCAAGTTGGTGGGGCAGAGACACGATTCACTAAGTCTTGTTCTTTGCTGCTATAAATTCCCAACGTAAGTGGCATTGCAAAGTGTTAGTACTCACATTCCTGGAGCTTTTTAATTCTTCCAGGGCTAAGTGACTCTGCGTAGAGGACTTAGTGGTAACTGACTTTCTCTGGTTTCCCTTCTATACTGCATTTACACTGAGCTTTGATGCAACCAGGAATCCACCCTTTAGAAGCCCTTGAACATAAACATTTGTTGGAAGTTGGAAAATATATATGGAATAACATGTTTGATCTAATTTCCTAGAGTCAACAGGAAAGCTTCCATAAATCTAGAGCAGTATTAAAATGGGCTTTGGCAAAGCATGAAACTTGGTGCCATTTTGAAGGTCTTGTTTGAATCCGTGTGTTCCAATGTTTCTGCCTCCTGAGTTTAGCCCTCTTTTGCAGAATGGGAGACCTTTTTTTATATATAATGAATTGCAGTCTCCACTGAGTATTACCATTGAGAGCAGAGGATTAAAATCACCCTTTGTTAAGGAATACCATTGTAATGATACACATTTAAACATCAAAGCATTAGTTTATGAGCACAGGCATGCTTTAATGTCCTATTACAGCATGTAGACCTGTTTCTTTTGATAATGAAGACATTGTGTCATCGGCATAGGCTGCCACATACAAAACGTATGCTGGCAGGTTATTAAAAAATTCAGCTTCTTGATGAAAGACTATCCTGCAGGCTAAGAGTACAGTGAAAAGACTCTCCATTCTGGTAGAATTATTAGAAATGAGAATATGACTGTAAGCACTAAATTATGTTAATACTTACAAATAGCATCATTTGCATAGCAGTTTAAGACACAATACCCAGATTTTCCTCATTGGTATGTAGTAGGCAACAGATTAAAAAATAATGTAGTTTGTGAGTTTGAACTGTGTAAAAAAAAAAAAATTAAATAAATAAATTTTAAAAAATCTATTCCATCAAAAAATAAATAAATAAATAAATTTAAAAAAATCTATTCCATTTAAAAATGAGACTGATTTTAGATTCCTCATTTCAAACATAACATTGGGCAAAGAAAAATCCAGGACAGGATTATCGATGTATTTTGCCTTGTTAACTTAATGCAGCATCTGAGTTATCTGAACAATTATTTTTGCAACTGCACAAAGGGTGGAATTCACAAACAATGCTGAACGTCTCCGTGAGGCCTTCGTCCTACTGTGCGCTGCTGAAGTCTGTCAGCAGATGAAAAATTTCGTCCTGAGGCCCTGATTCTAATGATATTCAATATCAAAGAACTGCTGCCTCTACAAGTGCACATTTGGCAATGGTGAGACTGTTTGTGGAGACTTTCTTCAGTGTGAAAAAAAGAATATCAGGATCTGGCCCCAGTTATGTGCAAAAAGATCAGTAAGTACCAAGACACCTTAGCAGTTCACTTGTATTGTGCAACGTGAATGACTCTTGGAGGGAGCAAATAAATTCAGGGATTTTTAACTGTTTAACATACACATGTTAAGGCATATGTGCTGTGTGAAATACTCTTATGTCATTCTATCACGATATTCCAACCTATTTTCTGTACCAATTCAAGCTTCAGTTAGTCCATGGATAGCAAAAAATGTGGTTCTGCTACTACTGGAGGAAGTAAAAACCAAGAATGTATTTAGGACAATTGCATGAGGGCCTTTTTGCAACATCTAGAAAAATATATCCATAATACTTTATTAATATATGGCATTCTAAAGTATTCCTGGCTAAGAAGCCAGGTTGAAAGTCACTCCTGTTGAAAGTCAGCAGTTTGGTTTTTGGAAAAATCTCACCTGTACTTACACAGACCCTTGCTGGGAGATAAATTCATGGAAGAGAAAACTACTGACTCAGTCTCTGGCTTAGAGGGATTCTGAGCTGCACATTGTTGGAGGCTGGAAAGTAGCTGGGGCATGGAGCTGCTTGCTCTGTTTTCCTACTTGCTGGGCATCCACTTGTGACCACCATCAAAGACAAGATCTGGGACTAAGCAGACCTCACTTTCATACTTCCATGACCTTGAAGGAAGATGCTCAGATGCCCACTCAGAATTCGAGCTGAAGATTGATGGAAAAGTGGTCTACAAAGTATATTTGATGCTTTTGGGTTTTTTTTTTTGAACAGACACCACCAGGCTGTCAAAGTTTGTGATGCCTCCTGGTCTCTGACTCTGAATCTTGGGACTGAAAGTGCCACATCAAGCTCTTGGAACAGTTGCAATCCTTTTCCTTTGTAGAGAGGAGATAACATCACCTTCCTCTTGGTGTTGCCTTTTTTCTTTTAACAGTCCCCCTTCTCCATAAAATAATACAAAACTACACAGAGATCCCACCCTCTTGTTTAACTACAGAAATCTAAATAGTATCTAAATCACTAGATTAATAGTCAAATTAATTTTAAAATTAACTTTCCTTACACTGTGACTCTTAATTAACCAGCAGGACCAGCAACATGATAGGAGTTTACCTAGCAGCAATCCTAAAGATAACGACAATCAGACTGAGGACAAAAAAAGGGATTAAGTGTGGGGATAAAGAAGAAAAGAGATGAAGATTCAAGAATAGAAGAAGACACAGAAAAACAAGCAGCAAATGTTCTCTCCATAAGCCATTAGAATTGGCCATAGTTACACAACCATTTTAAAACTCTCCCTTAAATATCTGTTGTAGAAGAAAAAAGCTATTTAATGTGCTTGGACACCTCCTGTTTTAAATGTTAGTTTGAATCTTACTGCCTCCAGTTGTGTCACAGTATTTTGTCACAGTTTCTTTTTCTTATAGACTATGTCTTTGTTAATTCACTAAAATGTGTAAGAGGAAATAAAAATCTTTTCAAAACGTGACAAAATGCAGAAAATCCAACTTTTGGTGAAGCAATATTCAGACACTGGTTGCAGGATTTTGCATTGATTTCTATTGGTAAATTACAATTTTAAAAGCCAAGACAAAATACTGCAAAATGCTGGCTGGTTTGGGTTGGGGTTTTTTTGTCAACTTTCAAAAGTCCTGTAATAAGTGATTAGATAAACTTTGGGATTATCTGAAAATCAGGAATAGTGGTGAGGAGGTTCTTTACTGGTTGAATTAATTGCATTCACTATAAAAAACCTGAAGCTTACGCACCACGTCTCGTTTCTTTACTGAAGTAAGGAATTAAGAGCGTGTGTTTAGGTCACAATAAAACCACCTCTAATAATTTTAGAAGCGTGGCATTGCCAGCACACTGTTGTTTCTGCCCCTCTTTGAACTCAGTAGAGCTTCCTCATGCTGCTTTTTTTCCTTTCTCTGACCCGTCCTCATTTCCACCGCTCCGATCGCCTTTTCTAACGCCACCAGCTTTGTTCTAGGGCAACGCTACAAATATTCCTGAAACTGGAACAAATTGCAAGCGATTGAATTAGTCTTAGTAAAACTCCTAAAGTCTACCGAGGGGATTCTGAAGCAAGTAAGTCTTTGCTACTGGTGTTATTGTACACATGAAATTACAGGTGTGGTAATTTTTTCAGCCTGGAGAGGGCCAGAAATCTGTGACAGACATACAGAAAGATGCTTTTACAGCGTTTTAACAGGCTTTTAATTTTTTTTTTCTAACTGATATGATGGTTAATAAGAAAAACAAAGAACCCCAAGACTTAAAGATATTGATAAGCCATAAAGCAATACAGCTGCAGGTTGTTTCCTAGTGCTTTGTCAGCAATATATCCAAAATAATTTAAATATTCACGGTAGCTACAAACAGTCCGTAGTGCTCTTATTCAGTTTATTAATCTATCTGTGTATCTGCCATGGTGACGTT